GATGTCTCATTTTCAGAAGTCATGGTCTATGTATCCCATGCCAAGGAGGTACGTTTTAGCACTATTATGGGTCTTGGTAATCTTGATCGTTGAGCTTGTGATCATGAAGAGCATCTACANATCCCATGCCAAGGAGGTACGTTTTAGCACTATTATGGGTCTTGGTAATCTTGATCGTTGAGCTTGTGATCATGAAGAGCATCTACATGATTGAAACAGCAGAAGTTCACATGCTTACCACCGAATGCAGTGATTCAGGGAGTATTGGTCAAATTTTTCACTTTAAATTAAGAGATTCAAATTTTAAAATCTATATTGGAATTTAGTGATTGACTGTTATACTACCTTAGTTAAATTTATTTTTGAGAGGAATAACGAACGCGATCAAAGATCTCATGATCCTACCAATAAAAACCTATTGAAGTAATCTTTGGACGTTCTCTTTTATTTTTACTTTTACTTTTTTTTCAAACAGCACAAAAAAAAAAGAAGCAAAGCTCACATGATTGACGAAAGGTTGCCATGTACAAGCCTGTTGGTAACCCCTAGACCCTAGTCCCGGGTAATAGTCAATTTCTTCTAAGCTTTTCTCATTTCTTCTTTCTATTGTGTCAGATGAGCTCCTTAAATGGATATTAAATTGGGTAGGTCATCAAACAACAATTTTATGTACACTATNATCCCATGCCAAGGAGGTACGTTTTAGCACTATTATGGGTCTTGGTAATCTTGATTGTTGAGCTTGTGATCATGAAGAGCATCTACATGATTGAAACAGCAGAAGTTCACATGCTTACCACCGAATGGAGTGATCCAGGGGAGTATTGGTCAAATTTTTCGCTTTAAATTCAGAGATTCAAATTTTAAAATCTATATTAGAGTTTAGTGATTGACTGTTATACTACTTTAGTTAAATTTGTTTTTGAAAGGAATAACGAACGCGATCAAATATTTCATGATCCTACCAATAAAAACTTATTAAAGTAATCTTTGGACGTTCTCTTTTACTTTTACTTTTACTTTTACTTTTATTCCTACCCTTTTTTCAAACAGCACAAAAAAAAAAAAAAAAAAAAAAGCAAAGCTCACATGATTGACGAAAGGTTGCAATGTACAAGCCTGTTGGTAACCCCTAGACCCTAGTCCCGGGTAATAGTCAATTTCTTCTAAGCTTTTCTAATTTCTTCTTTCTATTGTGTCATATGAGCCCCTTAAATGGATATTAAATTGGGTAGGTCATCAAACAACAATTTTATGTACACTATGGATCCNCCTTAAATGGATATTAAATTGGGTAGGTCATCAAACAACAATTTTATGTACACTATGGATCCTTCTCTACTATCTTTGTTCACCATCTCAATAGATATAAAGCATTGAATTAATAGATTTTATAAAATTTATTAAATATCTAATAATTGTGATTGTATCATGTCAGCTATTATTAATGAAACAGTGTATAAAAATAGTGTACATAATAGTATTTTGATGAATAATCTTCGTCATCAAAATGGATCCTCTTATATTGCTCTTCTTCTTTTTCCGACCCTCTCTTAACTCCGCTTGTGCTCTATTAAGTACAGTCGTCCTCCAGCCCGAATAGAAAGAGTAGTATTGCATTAACGATCCTTAATTACATTCACTACACAGAGTTCTTGTTTGTCGGTGTACGAGACCTATATAGGTGTATACATGACTACACGTGTGTCTCACATCAAGAGAAAGTATTGGCTAACTAATCAGTTATGTCATTACTTGAGAATGAATGACAAGTTTTGGTTGGCTCAACTAAGTAGAAACCCTAAAAATCCCAAGATGCTTAGATCAAGACAAGAAGCTGAGAAGTAGTAAATAGAGCTGGGCCATGGGGTTTTCTCAAAGGAGGCCACCCCATGTTCTGTGAACGAGAATGGTTAGAGAATGGAAGATAAAAACAGAGGGAAAATAGGAGGTTGGCCCCACTATCTCAACTAAAGGCAACGACTATCATTACCAATCAACAAAGGCAATTTCTAAGGTAGAAAACGACCCCTGTCAAGCACATGAAGGCCATGTTACCCTTGCCGCGAATACTCTTGTAAAGACAACCTAGTAAGGTCGTCTGATGTTTAACTACACCAGCATAGCAAATTCATCCAACCGACTTTTAAATATTTTTAATGACCTGTTTGAGTAAATATTCAACACAAGAGAATAATGTATCACGTTATTATTGACATTTGATATCATTATTTAGTAATAACTTTTGACACTGTTAATAAACCCCACATAATCTAATAATTATCGTATATATCCAACTATTTGGACTTAAAATATAAAATCTCAACAACATTCAATGCATGAACATCTGACAAATTTGAATATATTAAGTAAATGTCACGTGGAAGAATCAAAAGAAAGGCGGGAGATGATNTAATTATCGTATATATCCAACTATTTGGACTTAAAATATAAAATCTCAACAACATTCAATGCATGAACATCTGACAAATTTGAATATATTAAGTAAATGTCACGTGGAAGAATCAAAAGAAAGGCGGGAGATGATTAGCTACCATCACATTTGAAAATAAGAAGTTATTATTCAAAAGTTATCAGTCAGATAGCCATCGACAGNATTAGCTACCATCACATTTGAAAATAAGAAGTTATTATTCAAAAGTTATCAGTCAGCTAGCCATCAACGGNTTAGCTACCATCACATTTGAAAATAAGAAGTTATTATTCAAAAGTTATCAGTCAGATAGCCATCGACAGAGACAAAATTGTCAAGGACAGTAACTAACAAAGACTTGTAGTGGAGAAGATAAATGATACATTCAAACTTCCACAAAACCCACTATTTAGGCATTTTAGAAGTAGTGTTAGATTAGTTTTACAAAGAAGTTACTGTTTCAATTAAGTTTGTTAATCTAGTCTTTTTTATAACTGAAATCCCTGCGATTGAATTAATAAAGGAATCTTCTTTTATTAGTTTCTTGTAGTGTGTGTTTGACCATTATAATTCATTCAAAGAAGTCCTGAAACAAGGCATTTGAACCCTTAACAAACAATCGCCTAAAAACTATCTGTTATTTAAATTTCCTCCGTCGAAAACAATAAAATTTAGAGCAACACCAACATACTCTAACAACTAACAAACACACATTTGTGGGGTTCATCAGTACTTGTAATTATTTATATAATATCACGTATTGTCGTTCTCAGCCTATATATATACCAAATTATCCACTAATTCCTGCTAAGATATTAGTGGTATTGACAATGTAAACCATGGGTGCTAGAGCATTTGCTAGGGATGCATGTGCCTGACTATCTTTTCTAGGAAAGTATAGGTAGAGCCGCAAAACACATACCATGTTTAATGACTTTTTCATTGGCTCACACGAAAGTATACACAATTGATAATCCTCCATGTGGGATTGAGCAGAATAGGATCAGCCTTTCAAAACAGACAGCCATCATGAACATGTCTGAAGCTGCTGAAAAAGGCTAGGCACCGAATGCCTAAGCAAACTGTTGTGGAATTGAATATGTAACTTTCAAAGGCCAATAGCTAGAACATCATGAAAATGAACACAAGCATTTTGTAAAGCTTACATGTCCTAATCAAATGGCATCTATTTTCATAAAAATGTAATTCTGGAGGACCACTTTTGTATAGCGAGCTTCACATTAATTTATAATAAGTGATCTGTTATTAATAGAAACTGAGTGGAAACATCTCAGAGTAGGTCCAATTCTCAGACCGTAGACGGCAAAATCCGTTTGGCGATAAATTGAATAGAAATTTGAAGGGGATGGAATTGCAAGGACAAGACTGACAGAAAATTAACATCAAACCAAAATAAAGAGAGACCCATGACCCCAATACAGCTCACCCTTGGAACGTGGAATACCAAAGGACTTACGGATGTACCTGAACCATAGACCCAGCACATGTACTGCATAGCACACAGAAAAAACATTAATGTTCAATCTGTTTAGTCTTGACTTTGCAATCAGGGAACAACAATCTAATGAGAGGGTCCAAGCCAGGGTGGATAGTTTGCTTCTTGGGTCACAAGAGCACAGGGTTTTATTTTTCTTTTAAATTGGTAGGTGGAGGGGCGTTGGGCGTTCAGTGAATGTAAGAGTACAAGTGTATAAATGACAAACCACAAACGAAGGTGTGAAATAAGAGAGCTGTGAAATGAAATCTCCTGGTCTCAAAACCCGACTGCATGTAGAGAAGATGGGCAGGACCTGTTTCAAATAACTGGACATCCTAAATTCAACTCCCATCTCGGGTCTTTCTCTAAGAATTTATTCCGATAATGTATGTGGGAAGAAGAAAATGCATATGCCTATCCTACTCGACTAGTGATGGATATAATCCCAATCTCGGGTACATTCCGGACCTCGGAGGACGCTAAACGGTCACAGCCTTAAATGACAAAATGATCGAGTTACGTCAGTCACTACTACCTGCATGTCTCCGGTCAAGAAGAATTTGACACTTAGCATCAAGTTCCTAACACTACACGTAAGCTTCAACCCTGTTGACACACGCCAATAATGGAAGCTCTTGAATGGCGTTAGTTTTATACACATTCAACCATGAATGATTACTCCTACTCATTATTCCTTTAAGTTAAAAGTACACTCAACACACACTATAAAAATCCTCATAAATTAAGATTAGAGGCAGGTAATAAATTCCTAAGAAAAAAAACTATTTCTTATCACACAAATACTTTATAAATCCCGCTGAACTAACTTTAACATCGGAGGTGATTTGGTTGGTACCATACCGATCCCCTACTCTAAGTGTCATTTGACTGGACCAAAGCCAGATAGTTGTTGCGCTCTGTGAATTTTATTTACTGATTGTTCCATCAACTACGATGATATGAGAATGTTGAACTCCCAAGCAACTGCCCGATCAGCAACCAGTGGCGTGACAAGAAACATTTGCATTTTCTACACAAAGTGGATTCTCTCAAATTGAAAATCTTGCCCATGTTAGCCCAAATGTAAGCGATACTGAAGTCATATAAAAGATAAGTCAAAGAACACTCTTAAGCAAAGAGAATAAAACTTTCCTTCATCTGGTGTTTGATAGCTTCTCAGACAAAAAATCACAATAAATCAACATATCGCATGCCTAGTGTTCAATCTAGAAACAGAAAAAAAACGACTTAGGTACAAGACAACAATTTGGAATGCCCAATTTCCAAATGATGATGAACTCATAGTTTCTCCTGCAGCTTCCACCTTCAGCTAGATTCCATATACTATCAACTCTACCAGAATGTTAAGTAGATAGCACAGCTGGTTTCTCTGTAGCTTCTTCAGCCTGCAAGCTTTCATAATATTTGACCAAAACTTCCCATCCCCCAGGACACATAAAACCATCAGGAGGGTTCTCACCATTTCTTGCAAAAGTCCGCATCTGCAATAGTATTACACGTCGACCAAATTGAATAAGAAAATTATGAGACTAACTAACTATAAGTTCTTTGACATTGACGATACATGTTTCTTTCAAAAAATGCAAAGTGCTCTCTTTCTCACAGAAAACCAATTCTGGTAAGAGTCAAAAGGTCCAAGGCCACATATCACTTAAAAGAGAGAGAATAATTTGGTGAATTCAAGCAATTAAATCATTTCCAAACCAAGAAGCAGGAATATGGCAACATTTGCAAAAGTACAGCCTCTAAGCAAGAATTCATTCAATAGAAAACACAAATCATTTAATATTCTAAAGAAAAAAAAAAAAACATTGAGAGTACCATACCGGCAAACTTCAAACCCTGAAGGGAAGGCAAGATAGTGTATCCTAAACCTTCATAACCAGTCAAAGATGCATGTCTGTAGTCGGACCTTCCCTCCACTGGTTTTTTCTTTATTTTTTTCTCTAGAAGTGGCCTCACACTGCCATGAAGTGACTGTTTTAACCATTTTATAACATTGACTCCCTGTAACTGAAGAGTTGACTGAATACTTACGATCATTGGATGTTAATTTCTGGATATAACCCAACCCTGCAACTGTCACCTGACCTCAGCATTGGAAAAACAGTAAAATAACACCATAGAAGTAGCTCATGCCAAAAAGGGAGACCTGACTACTTGACTCAAAAGCACAATATCATCTCTATCTTCAAAATAAAATAACCTCCTCCTATTATGCCAAACATGTTAAACAAATTGGTAGTTTAAAGTTTATTTCGCCATTTGTGCCTCTTTTACCCCTTTATCCCCCATTCTATATATCCTTTATTTTTAATGTATCTAATTTCACCTTGGTTCCTGAGATGAAGAGAAAATCTTTAGCACGTGAAGGATCAAAAAATGCCATCTTCTTTTCTATAGTGTCATATGCTGCCACCTGCAATATATAGTGAAGGTGAGAGGATTCAAATAACTAATGGTATAGCATAGGAAATCTTAGGTATAATTTGAGTTTTTTGTATTTTAATAGCAAAAGGGAACTGAAAGAAGTTCAGGGGAAGAGGAAAACCCTTATACAACACAAGTGAAAGCAAAAAGACTTAAGGCTAACATTGTTTAAGCAAGATCAGTGACTACCATTATCGGTTCATCACAGGCAATTTCACTGCCGAATGATCTTACAAGGAAGCCTATTTCTTGGTCATTAAGAAAGATCAGTGACTTGATCTGTATAAAACCAGGACTTCTGCAAATGTTTTCACGACAACAACCTTATAATAAGCAGCTGAAAATTTAATAACCGCTGAGATCTTTGATTAACACCATTGAAACAACTACGGATAGAGTTCTTTTTGCCCTGGAGTCACTGATAGAATTTTACTGACTAAAGTCAGAATGTTTGTTGATAGACAAAGGGAATCAGGGAAAGAACAACAGAGCTTTCACTATCACTATCAAGTAAAGAACACTACTATGGACCTACCCTGAATGGCAAGATGTTTAACTTCTCCAATCCAGGAGCCATGCTTAGCACCTTTTTCCCATGGTCAGGATCATATAAATCCCTTTTCTCTGTTGGATGTCCCATACCTGCTGGATCTCGACCAACAATGTAAAAATTAGCGCCCGCATTTATCCTTGCCTTTGCATGCCATTGCACTTCAGTTGGACCTGCATAATGCATGGGTGACGGGAAAATGGCCACTATGGTAGTGTCAGGATCAAGAATTCCATCTTCTAGGACCTGAGGCAAAATAGAATCCTCGTATAAAACTTATGAATTTTGAACAAAACATGCTGCCTAAATATTCCAATTCAATTTCAGCAACATTTTGTAATGCAGGTTCATATCTCACAAAAAACTAATCATTATGATGACTTGTACACGTGGTGTTAAATACAGTTACAAAATCCTAGAATGATCTTATTACATAAGAAAAAGAATCATAAGTTTTAATTCGAATGTTCTGGATTAAGAAAATATCGAAAAAAATCCATCTACACAGCTATGGCCAAAAATATATGGATGCATGCTCATGCTGAAATATTCTCCCGTTGATGCACATCCCATATCAGAATCATAATAATTGAGTGCAGAAACCTGCAAAAGTAACCTTGCTATGTTGTTCCATACGAACATCCAGTGGAACATCGTCAGCCTTAGTAAAACCTCCTAAAGGATGAAGCAATAGAATTGGATTCTTGTAACCCGATTCCAACAATCTCCTGCGTGTATCATTCATTAATAAAGCATGGCCATTATGCACAGGATTTCTTAGCTGAAAAGCGAAAACTGCATCAGCTTGACGTCGATCAAATTCTCTCCGGAGTTGGTGGGGAGAGAGCCTGTAGTGATCAAGTCCATCATTATACTTGATAGGCTTTAAGACTTCCAGATCTCCACCAATGAGCCAATTGCCAGCAGGAGTAATTACCTCCTCGACGTAAGGTAACCCTGGAGCAGTGGTCCCCCATGTTCTAGCAATCCTCTCTTCCTTGTTGTGCTTGTATATTTCAGTTCTGCCACAGATGAATTATAGAGTTAAAATAAAGAGAAACAAATTAAAAAGTAGACAAATAGGGGTGCATTCATTGAACAGTAATTGACTTCGATATCAGTCAAATAGACAGGAAGATAGATACAGAGATGTCTGGGTGAGTGAGTGTGCACTTGTGTGTGTGTGTGTGTGTGAGAGAGAGAGAGAGAGAGAGAGAGAGAGAGAGAGAGAGAGAGAGAGAATGTGTTCACTGTCTATGGAGGAATGACCATATCTTCATATTTCTAACCTTCCCTTGGCAGAACTCTTAGATTCCATCTCTACATTTTCTCTAAATTTTCCATCCAAAAAGCATACAAATAACAATGTTGGCCTTTTGAAGTACCTATTAGCTTAAATATGATCAAGTTGACAAGCTCAGGCACCCTACTGAGTGACATAAAGAAGGTGCCTTCTCTATACACTTACATTCGGTGATGATGTAAACAGGTAAAATCATCAGACCTGAGTTTAGACTCTAACCACAAGGGCATGGAGTGTTGGACCGTTGGTTTAGGTGCAGCTGTATATCAGGCAAAAGAATATAGCATTGTTGAATGAAATCAGTTTCCACTCTAAACAATAAAACTCAAATCAATTTGACAATCAGAAGTTAGAATCATCTCCTAGGTCATCTATGACATCACTATATAGCCTTGGATACGATATGGTACTTACAAAGTCACAAATTAAGGTCTCTAAGTTTATCCATGGCATACAGAGACACCTTTAAAACTTCATAAGTTAAAATGCTGGATGCGTGCTTTACTGAATTCACAATTAATTTCATTCAGTAATCAAATTAACAGCAAATAGATAGATAGATAGAAACGTAGATAGAAAGAGAGGAGGAGGGATGGGGGGATTTAGAAACTCTGGCACTATATATTACATTTGCCTAAAACATCAATACTAAAAGATCATATGACGATAAAAGAAACAGCTGTTCATTTTGGGGAGGAAATGAAACAGAACCATAGAAGACAATAAAAAAAAACACTTTCAAAGTTTTACACTAACTTCTAATTTTCTGCCACAATTTTTAATTTCTTCTTCTCATCCATGATCCGTTGGCCGTCCAACTAAACACATTGAAAAACATGAAAGATAAGTTGTACACAATGTTTCATGATCCACCACAAATAAGTAAAGAAAACTAACTCCAAGCTACAATTATAAACAATAGAACCAAATCAAACACTGAAACACAAGAGCATGCAAGTTCATTTCAACAAAACTAATCTACAATGTAAGTATCTACAGAACAAAACTGAGACACACACACAAAGACCACAGCTTTAATAATGCCAAAACTTACTCGCACCATCTCTCTTTGGCATCCATTTGGGTTACTTAAAATAATGATGGAGTGTGTGCTTTTCTTTCTTTTTGCAAATCATATGAACAATAAACAAGAATGCCCAAGTATTTATACATGCTGCAAATTATTTCAAAAAAAAAAAAAATATCGCAAACTTCAGAAATTGTCCAGAATTTTGAGGGAAAAAAAAGACTAACCTTCGAAGAATAGCAACCAAATCACCATTAGGCGCAATCAATGCAACATCAATCGACTCCCCGATTCTTTCTTTAGCCTCATCATCAACTGACAAAACAATAGGGAGTGACAGATTCACCAGAGACCCATCTTTCATTCTTAAGGAATTGAAATGCAAACTCTGCAAATACTCATCCTCTCTCATGAACCCCTTCAAAGGACTGGCCCAACCTTCACTAATCACATGAGCCCACTCAAGATCAATCTTGGTCAGCTTAACCTTTGGCATTGCCTCAGCCTCTGAAATCTTTGCAGCCCTTTCACTCTCTGGCACCACAAGATCCACCAAAGACCCACCATCTGGATCAATCAGAGAACTCTTGACTGTAAAAGAAACCTTTGAAGAAGAAGAAGGTAAAGCACACATTTTGCGATGAGACAAAACAAGTGGGGTTAATGGGTTTGAATGATATATAGATTTGGACTGAAATTGGATGCTGTAGCTTCTTTTACTGATAGCGGTTTGAGGGTTGAGGTTGAGATGTGTTGTTGTTGTGATGTGTAATTCGATGGTTAAAGACATTTTGTTTGGGAGCTGTAATTCTTCGGAGAGGTAGTTGTTGATCTTGTTGCTTCAGCAGAAAGAAAGAGATCCGACCAAATTGGGAGCACTGTGCTTGCACCTCTGAATTTGGTGGACATCTTGAAAGGACAATAAAAGAGAGGCTGTGAAATGAAAAGATGTCCACAAGTTTGATTTGAACTCATCATTGATGTAGGTTTTTTCCGTTTTATTTTTATTTGTATATTTATTTATTTTTAGATGGGCCGCCGCCGTTTCTTGCGTAAGCTGCATTGTCGTGGACCAGCGTAAATCTAAGACAACTGCGTGGCCTAAAGAACTAAAGAAGTTTGACTGCTTATTTCAGCCCATTTTACGAATTTCTCTGTGTCAGTCCAATTTTATCGGATGTCCCCAAATGGGCCATATTACAAATCTATAGTCTGTATGTAAAGGTGGTAAATGATTGAATTATTCAGGTTTGGGTTTTCGACTCGAGTTCATTCATTTAAAAAATGAACTAAGCTCAAATAATTTTTTATATAAACTCAACTCATTTTGAGTTTAAACTCACAAAATTCGACTTATTTATTTATAAAATAATCAAGTTATTTAGATTTAGTTCGAATTCATCTCGTTTTAAATCAATTCAAGCTTTTTCGAAATAAAAAATGAGTTGAACTTTAATATTTTTTTAAATTTGTTATAAAAAACAAATTCATCAAATTCGGACTCAAACACCTTAATTTGATTCATTTACATCCTCTTATATCATCAAAACCATTCTTAAATAAAAAATAATAATCCCATGATCGATAAGAAAATATTAGTGTTTTGGAGCCCACCATCGTGCATAGATTTGGGTTTCAAGATGAAATATGTGAGTTCGAGTATCTTCTTTTTCCTTTTTTTCTTGTAAGTGTGTGCCTATTTTTTTGTTATCAACGAAATGGCGGAGAAAGACGATCAGTAGGGAGTGACCTCTTTTAAACATGATTAGAGTTTTTTCGATATGAAATGTTTGGTTAATCGTAGCTACGAATACTTTTGGAGTAGCTTATTATCACACCACCACTAAAGCCAAAGTAACAAAACATGAAAACTCCTGTAAATTAAACTCTACTTGATAATCACCTGAGAATCAAAGATGATTCTGAAACGGACCTACCTTACCATTAAATCATCAGATCCGATGGTGTGTGTAAGTTTGAGGCGCACTTCAAAGTGGAAAAATTAGAAGAGCATATCATTAAATTAGTTGGAGAACGNTCCTGTAAATTAAACTCTACTTGATAATCACCTGAGAATCAAAGATGATTCTGAAACGGACCTACCTTACCATTAAATCATCAGATCCGATGGTGTGTGTACGTTTGAGGCGCACTTCAAAGTGGAAAAATTAGAAAAGCATATCATTAAATTAGTTGGAGAACGTAGAGATATGTGTAGTCAATAATGTTATTTAAATTTAATTTATCATAATTATTAGATTAGCCTATACTTCATTCAATAATATAACCTATGGTTAGCCTAATAATCATAATGAATAGTGTCCCAAAATATAAAAATCTTCTTACAACTTTACACAGCTTCGGCTCACCCCAGGGCCAAGCACACAACACTCCCCTTTTTTTTAATGATATGATGTGTTAAGCTCAAAATTAGCCAATTATTTAATTTTTTTTCAAATATTCAAGATTTATTTACACATGCAATTTTATTTGTCTAAAATTATAAAACAATAATCATGTTTTTTTTTTATAAATTTTAATAGATTCTTAAAATTGTGAAATTATAGTGGAAAAAAGGGACTTAAACGGGTATCTCCNCTTTTTTTTTTTTATAAATTTTAATAGATTCTTAAAATTGTGAAATTATAGTGGAAAAAAGGGACTTAAACGGGTATCTCCCTGACAACTTCAATATCTCAAGAATATCTCATAAATTTTTAATTTCTACATGGATAATCTTTTTTTTTTTTTTTTTGATCCAAAAAGAAGTTAATTTTTTTTTTAACATGAAAAGGGGGAAGGATAACTAGTAAATAGTAATTATTGGGTGTGACCATAAGGGTTTATTACTGTGAAATGCTTGATTTAAATTATAAATATTAAACCAGAAGAGTAGTCTGTTACTATAATACCAGGACCACTAAAAGCATACAACAATTCATGTTTTATTTGTAGATCGAACCTTATTTGATAATCACATGAAAAATAAAGACATCTTAAATGAGTATAATTTACTGTTAAACCACCAACTTGATAAAAAAAGAGTAATGTTACGTATCCCAAATTTGTATTTTAAATGAATGAGGACCATTAGATGAGTAAGTCCCATTTAAAAAAGTTGATGAAACCCACTTATCCAATGATATTTCTTTATTTGGGATACAAAATTGAGTTATAAATTTAAAATCCATAATAATATCTATGAAAAAATTATTTAAAGTGTGTGTAAACTAACTTTAATGGTCCTGACTGTAACTTTAAACTAACTTTAATGATAAAAAAAAACACTAATGTTATTTGGACCTAAAAATTTGATATATTTTGATGACCTAATGATGTGATTGCATTGAAATCATTGGATCAATAACAAGTTTTAATGTTTCATAGATTTCATAGTGAATTCAAAAGTTATTGTGAATTAAGTCAACAAATTAGGTTAATAAATTAAGTCTCAATAACATTGCTATAAAAAAAAAAAAAACCTCATTGCCGACTAAGTAGCCTACGTCATCGTATACGTACGTAGCCATAAAAACCCCCAATCTCTATCCAAAATGCAACCTCCCAATCGATCTTTGTCGAAACAAAAGGGCATATCCGTCCACAAATTTAGATTCGTGCCCTAGCTTTCCCAATCCGAGCATATAGCCACGCCAACTCCCTTATTCGCATATTCTCTTTCGCTCCCTCTCTCCATATTTGATTTTCAGTTATTAGGGTTAGGGTTTTTCTCTCTCTGCGATTCACTTCTACTATCTATCTATTTCTTGTTATACACTTATCTTCCCATTATTTATCTATTTTGGTTCGAGTTTATTGGAGATTTTTGTGTTGTGAAGAAGATTTGAAGCTGAATAGTGGTTTGCAATGGGAGTTCCGGCGTTTTATCGGTGGTTAGCGGAGAAGTATCCGCTGGTGGTGGTGGATGTGATCGAGGAAGAGCCAGTTGTCATCGAAGATGTTAAGATTCCGGTTGACACAAGTAAACCTAACCCTAACAACCTCGAATTCGACAACTTGTATCTCGACATGAACGGGATTATTCATCCTTGTTTTCACCCCGAAGACCGGGTACGATACTCTCGTCTCCCTGTTTTGAATGAATTTGGTTGTTTTTCTTTGTTCTGTGACTGACGTTTTTGGTTGTTTTTGCTGTCGTCATCCTCTGCATTTTAATCTGAAAAATTGAAGGTGCATTAGGTGTTGTTGAACAGTTTTTAGTGGGAGAACTAGTCTACGATGAGATGATAAAGAAGTTGATAGTGGGGAATCGAAAATATTAGCCCGATTGACAATCATTAAAACGAAGCAAATAAATTGCATTAATTGGCAATTCTGATTGTCTGTCAAAACTGAGTCACCGACTTAAGTACTACCGAGACCTGTTAGTTCCTAGTGGTTGAATGGTTTGGTCCGTTGGGTTTTACATTATGATATTCAATCAAATTTCAAATCTCAGGGCTTTAATTAGTTGACAGTTGATGGATCAAGGCCCAACCCGTCTATATGAAGCAAAAGGCATGTATTGAAGTATGGGGAGCAATGTTGTCAGTATTGTATGGCATGGCATATGCATGAAGAACGCTATACCTATAAACAACGTAATTTTGCACGTTTTATTTACCAAAAATGGTGAAACCACATGTTCTACTGATTAGTTTGCCCTTTTTTGGTTTGATCTCAGATAGACAAAGCCATACTTGTCTTCTTCTCCAGTTCCCTTGGCATCCTCTTCTGGTTCTCTTCCTCCTCCAGTTTCTTCAAATCATCACCCTAGCTGGATTTTGTTATCTGTTGTGATGCCCAAGGGTTGTCTCTACTTCAATCTTTGTCGCAAATATGCATCACACGAAGACTAGCTACCTTCTTGTGAAGCAAAGACGACTCAAAGGAGGGAGGCACAACCTATTTCGACAATCCAAACCCAATTGTCCAGACTAACAGTCAATTGAAATGATTATTATATTATTTTGTATATTTATAGGGGTGTCTTTTTAGTCTATACATTTTTTCTTTGTATTTAAAATTGAGCTGTGGTATATTGGTGTCCCGATTTTGGAATTGGGTTTGTACTTTCTGAGATAACATTCCTGAGGTCTTAACAGGATAATGGGCTGATAGACCTTAAACTTATTTCCTGAATGTAATACATAACATCTACGAGCCTAGTTGTTTTGTCCTTAAGTTCTATCATATCATTGAATCTTTCTTTTTGTATCAATATTTGTTTTGTGTTCATATTGCTTTTCAGTTTATATCTTAAACGAATATAGTTTAAATGTTTCAATTTTCCTCATGCAGCCTTCTCCAATCTCTTTTGAGGAGGTGTTTCAGTGCATGTTTGACTATATGGATAGGCTTTTTGTGATGGTGCGTCCCCGAAAGTTGCTATACATGGCTATTGGTGGGTAATAAGGTCGAAATATCCTTGAAACTTGAGTTAAACTTGGATTATTTTCATATGTTTTGTAAATTACTGATTATTTGGAAATGGATGGTAGATGGCGTTGCCCCACGGGCCAAAATGAATCAGCAGCGGTCTAGGCGTTTTAGGGCAGCCAAAGATGCAGCAGATGCGGTATGTGTCTTCTGTACATAATCTTTATTAACCTACTTAAAACCTCGACTTTAGCGATATTCAATCTTGTGGCCTCTTCTTTTCTAGGCAGCCGAAGAGGAAAGGTTGCGGGAAGATTTTGAGAAGGAGGGCAGAAAGCTTCCTCCCAAGCAGGAATCACAAGTTTTCGATTCCAATGTCATCACTCCTGGAACTGAATTTATGGCTGTTTTGTCAATTGCTCTGCAGTACTACGTCCACCTCAGGCTAAACAATGACCCTGGATGGAAAAATGTTAAGGTGTTGTTCGAGTTCCCATGCAATTTTATTTATTGGTTGGTTTGTATGGTAATTGTAATGGTGTGCTTGGCACTTGGAGTGTGGTGGGTTAAGGAATTGTGCTCCAGTGTTTTTCTTATCTTTCTATTTTTTTGGAAGGTTATCCTTTCTGATGCAAATGTTCCCGGTGAAGGGGAACACAAAATAATGTCATACATTCGTCTGCAAAGGAATCTTCCGGGTTATGATCCAAATACACGTCATTGCCTGTATGGTTTGGTATGTCTTCTTCTTAACGCACCTGGAATGTTAAATAGGACTGTTCTTCCTGTTTTGCTATGTTATAATGATTGTGGACCATTATAATTTGAAATTGCAATTATTGCCACTTGACAGGATGCAGATCTGATCATGCTGGCTTTGGCTACGCATGAAGTTCATTTTTCAATACTTAGAGAGGTTTGTAATGTTAATATTGGGAGGTTGCCATGATTTGACAATTTGTGTTTTTTATTTTAATCTTTGATACATGTTTGACTATGGAGCTGTGAAGAAAAAATGGTTAAATTTTCTATTGCAAGAAGATAGACATGCTTTCCTGGAAAATTCTTCCTGTTCAACATCTTTATGTAAAACTCAAAGAAAATCTTGATCCTTCTAGAATTGGTTAATACTTTGACTGGTTCGGTTAATCTGAATAAAATAGTATTTAAGGTTTATTTGCAATAGGGCATTATCTTCTCTTCGGTAGAAGAAGTAACAGATATGCTCCCCAAATCTATTTACCAGGTTGTGTTTACTCCCGGACAACAAAACAAATGTTTCCTGTGTGGTCAAATGGGTCATTTAGCAGCAGATTGTGAAGGGAAGGCAAAGAGAAAGGCAGGGGAGTTTGATGAGAAAGGGGATGGTGGTGTTGTGGCTAAAAAGCCTTACCAGGTTATTCTTCATTCCGGTCTGATAGATAAGATATTTTTTTTCCTTCACAATACTGACTCTAGCTTCTCCACTTCCCCCTCCCCAACCCGCCCTTCACCTCCCATGGCACCCTTAATTAACATTTTGCAGTTTCTCAACATATGGACTCTTAGAGAGTACTTGGAATATGAGATGAGAATCCCTAACCCTCCCTTTGAGATGGATTTCGAGTGCATTGTCGATGACTTTATCTTCATGTGCTTCTTTGTGGGCAATGATTTTTTACCACATATGCCCACCCTGGAGATTCGTGAGGTGTGTGTAATTGTTTTTTTTTTATATATATCTTTAAGTTACTTCTCTTGTGAATTGTCGGGTATGTGCATAATCTTTCAGTACTGCATACATTCTGCATCTGCATGTAGCATGATGTGATACAACAGATCTAGTTAGGAATGTTAATAGATTTTGGTTTAATAACGATAAATGATCATCAATGTCGTTCTATAATTCGAAATTCTCAATTTGTCTGCAAATTTCATGTTGAGGCCTGCATTGAAGCGAATTGGCTGCAGATGATTAAATGCAGTTTGCTTCTAAATGATAAGATTTAATGTAAAACATCATTTAGAAGTGACTGATATTTTTTGTTAAATTTTGAGTTCCAAGAAAATGACCTAAGAAACAATGGGCAAGGAGGGAAATGACATAGTAATAAGAAATCGATCTTGTTCCTAGACTTGAATGGTAACTTACCCAAAAGAATTTGAAAAAAGAATCACTAAGAAGTTTGTTCCCATTATGAAGGTCACACTAATGGATATAGGCTTGGGAATAATGAAATTTCAGAGAAGCCAAAGTATGAATATCGTGATATGTTGACAATGCAATCTAGGCTCAGAAGAATTATGTACAGAACGATATAAAAGAAAACATAATCAATCCAATTTCTTAAACATGTGATGTTGGACAATATGATATTCTAAAAGTTTACTGGTACATCATCTCATTAGGTAAGTTGATCGCATGGATTTTTTCTCCCTCCCAAAGTGGAAAACTTGTAGATTTGATGTTCATAACGAATTGCTAATGTAGTAATGTTGATATATCTTGCAGGATAGCTGTTATTTTCCAAAAAATAATAATCTATTTTTAATTTTTTTCTTTTGATATTTTGTACTTCGTGGTATTTAGGGTGCAATTAACTTGTTGTTGGCTGTCTATAAGAAAGAATTCAGAGCTTTGGGCGGATATTTGACTGATGGAAGCAAGGTATTTGATTGACTCCCTGTTGTTTGAGTTACTTAAGTTTTATCTGGCTTTACTTTTGCATACCATCCAAGGTTGCTATAAATTCTACTATCTCTCTTTTTGTTTCTTAGCCCAATCTGAGCAGGGTAGAGCATTTCATTCAGGCTGTGGGATCATACGAAGATAAAATATTCCAGAAACGATCTCGTTTGCATCAGGTTTGTCTTGTTTTAGCCATTGAGACAGCTGTCTCCCTCTGGTGGATGTTCACTATCACCGTTGTTCTATTGTAGAAGGCCATTACTTTAGGTTATGTATTGGTACCTCTTCCAGCTTTTATAATATTGTTTTTTCCTGATACGTGATAATGCCCCCAAGGAATCATTGCAAATGTACATGGAAGAAAATTTACTGCACTATTACTACTCTGATTTCAGCATTGCCAGTGATACCAAACCTATGTATTAGCTTAGACTTGGTAGAATGCATCGAGTATTTCTGCCAATATCAAGCCAATGGCCTCCATTGTTTTTCCAGCATCATGAAATGAAATGCATCCCTTTCATTTATCTTGGAAACAAGTCNTGCCAATATCAAGCCAATGGCCTCCATTGTTTTTCCAGCATCATGAAATGAAATGCAACCCTTTCATTTATCTTGGAAACAAGTGAGCCAACAAGCATCCACAAGAGAGTGATCCAAAAAAATAATATTTACTATGATACCATTGCCTTGTCTGTTTACTCAATCAATTGTGTTCTATAAAACACGCCTCCCTTTTACAAGCGGTAAAATATGACCATCAATTGATTACATACCACGTGTCTCAGAATGATTAATACCAGTGTTTTGTTCCCTATCAAAAAAGAAAGAAAAGAAAAAAAAAAACTGGTTCTAATATCTTGATTATGGAGGAAGGGGGAGGGTGTTTCTTATGTTCGACACAAGTTTTTTTGCTGCTTCTCCTTTCCACCTGAATTTTTACTTTAAAAAATGAATCTGAATGTGGTCAGATTTATTTTATTGTAGGTACATGTATGATTCGTTATTTCTGTGAATTGAAGCTATAGTAATTATAGTTTTTGCTTTGATTGTTCAGCGACAAGCTGAAAGAATTAAGCGTGAAAAAGCTCAGGCAAAAAGAGGAGATGATGCAGAACCTCAAGTTAAACCTGAGTCTCTAGTTCCGGTTGCTCGGTTTCATGGTTCTCGCCTGGCGTCGGGTCCTATGTCTTCACCATATCAATGGACAGGTTCAGAATCTCGCAGAAATGAATTCGAACGTGGGCAATTTACTGCAAATCTGTCAGTCCTTGACATCCAGAGCAAGCGCAATGGGAGATCGGACAACAAAGGAAGCCATGTCCGGGCACAAAAGGTTGCACGTTTTTCTTCCGGTTCCACTATGGGTGCTGCTATTGTTGAAGCTGAGACAAGTCTTGAGATAGAAGTATGTTTCCCTGCTCTGGGTGAGGCATTTTAATGTAATTCTGACCTCACCAGCCATTATGTAGGATTATTTAGTGTGGATAAACTTTTTAGTTGGCATGGGTTTGCTAGTAGGAAGTGGAAGTGCATATATCGTCACTATTTTGGTTATGTATAAGCAATGATTATATGTTCCAGTATAAAGCATTGGTTAATTGGTTGTTATTTCTTCTCCCTATTGGTTTTCAGGTACAGGACAATAAAGAAGAATTGAAAACAAAGCTGAAGGAGTTACTTCGCGAAAAGTCTGACGTTTTCAATTCTGAAAATCATACTGAAGACAAGGTTCAGATTTTGATGTTTTTTTCTGACTTATATATAAAATTTAGTTTATAGGTGCTTGCTGTGGCGTCCTATATCAATTTATATCTGTACTATGATGGTTGTATGTATCGATACATTGTGAGATTTATTTTGCTGTGTACCAGCACCTCAATTTTTTTTGGTTCTCTAAATGGTGAAAGTTAGCTTTCACTACAGAGGTAGTCAAATCATTGTAGTGTGTTGAAAATTTATTATTTAGCCTCTTCACCGTGAGGATGTTTACATGTACCAAAAGGAAAAGAATGCCATTTTTGACTTGATATACAGTGTGAAAGGTGGTTAACCAAACTCTAAAAGCCGTTTTGATAAAATGTGGGAAATCATGGAAACATGGGTGGAAACTTTGTCAAGCATTTGTATGGGAGCCAGTAGATGAGTGTTTGTGATTTCATAAAAATGTTCAAAATTTTCCAACCTTTTTCTTTACAACAACTACTTAAATCAGCTTGTCGCTATTAGTTTTCTTTTAAATCTTGTTTATAATATAGATATTTATTCCATTTGAATATCTAATGGCTAAAAGAAAATAATGTAATTCCGCTTTTGCGTCTATCATTCATCACTGTTTATTTACTTTTATAAGGTCAAACTGGGAGAGCCTGGTTGGAAAGAGAGATATTATGAGGAAAAGTTTTCTGTGAAGACTCCAGAGGAGCTTGAAATGATACGGAAAGATGTTGTAAGTAAATTTGAATTTAACTGCCGTTAATGTTTAGTCAGTGTGCTGTTAAGTGGGCCAGGTTGTGCTCCAAATCTTATTTTCATCCCGTGTTCTTCTTCATCCCCTGACCAACGTAACAACAAAAAATGTTACATATTTCTTTTATTTAAAGTTATCTCAAGGAAATTGCTGGCAAATGTGATTGCAATTAGGTTTATAGAGGCTGTCAACGTAGTTTGATTGTGCAGAAGTGGTGATAACTCAATTTATGATTCACTAATCTCGAATTGACTTCTTTGGCCACCTAATTTTTTGAGTTTCATTTAGCTTATATTGAGTTAGACATCTTAGATTGCGACATTTCATCAAAAAACTAAGCAAGTTTTGTTAGCATGTTTTGCTCTGGGGATCGATTTCTTCAGTCACCTAATCTAGTGATATGGATTGGATATTTATAGTTAAAGGAGCAGCAGCATGTCTACTAGAGCTGGAGTTTGAGAGCAGTTCTCATTGAGAGATTAAGTCTTAATGGTGTGACTAAATGATCCTATTCGAACTTATCGAGAACCTCAACATCTCCTGTTGAATGTGGGTTGCATGTATTTGTCCTGTCAGTGTCTATGAATGAACTAGTGCCCAATAATGTTGATGTTGATTCCATATGCAAGTGAGTGACATTGCTTCCCCATGTGCGTGCCCCCACAATTTAATGTAGCATGATATATCTCATATATGTTAAGAAGACTTATCCTTTTAGATTATTTGGAATACTGCCTTTGATTTGTAGTATGCAAGCATATCATAGTCTGCTGCCTTTGTTACCGTCCACCAGAAAAATGCTCTGTTGGTTGAGCTGCAAGTGCTTTTATGGAGAATGAGTATTCCAACTTACCCCTTATCCTTTCTATTGGGTGTTGCTTTTGAATTTAAGATGGTGATCAATGGAACTTGAACAAGGCACACCCAGGTCAAGTATTACAAGGTAAATATGCACGACCTGAACTGCTATTATCACCATCCTGCCACTATCCTATTATAGCTGCCTTTGCTTTTATTACTGCCCTCTCCAGTCACAGCCTTTCTCAATCACCCTTGATGCACCCACATGCTGAAATGAACAACCATCATCTTTGCAACTTCCACCATTGCCTCCTTTTCATATTACAAGTTACAAGCATTCTTATTCTATTCTGTCTATCCTTTTGCTGAGATCGTTAATTCCAAGTCCAAACAAATCGCTGTGTCTTTATATGGGCTTACATGTTTTAAAATAGATGACCTTACTAGATAGAAGCCTAGGTACCAATGGGAGTTGCTTCCTATTTATTGCGATGAATTAGGAAGTTAAAGTATATTAAGGAAATGGAAAAAATTATAAGGGCTTAGTCTTTGATACATCGATGTATGAATGTGACTTTAAAGGAGCCTTTTAGCCAATATGCCTTGTCTGGTGAGCTGGGGTTTTTGTTTTGCCTTCCCAATCAATTAGAATAGAGCTTTTTTTCTTCAATTTATCTTATCTGGCAGCTGCCTCCACTTTGGTGTTGGTATATTGGTTGACCTTTTTAGTCGCTGACCTTCCCTTCCATAGCTGATGCTCAGACGTTGTGGTGTGGGTATGTTTTTTAGCCTAATTACATCACTGGAATTGAGTGGTTTTGATATTCAACAGCCTGTCCTTTGTACTTGTTCTATTGCATGGTTGTTTTGTAGGTGATCTGTCTGAAGCCTGTCAAGCACACATTTTAGCAATAATGGGCTGACAAAAATTTCAATCTCTTCCCTTGGTAGGTTTTGAAATACACAGAAGGCCTTTGTTGGGTTATGCAATATTACTATGAAGGGGTTTGTTCCTGGCAGTGGTAATCTTTCCTCCCTTAATCAATTTTTTGTTCAAAATTGTTTTCTTGAATCTGTTGCTGATTTTTCTTTTTTATTTTTTGATCTTCTGTTTCAGTGCATCTGTGTGTTTTGGGGAGGGGGGGGGGTATCTGTAGAGAATCATCATCATCATTAGTGCGTTCATGTAACACCTCTGTAGTCAAGGCATGTGCTTTTGATGCTTTGGCTTGCTTACTAGGATCTTTAATTAATGAACCTGTCTGTGCAAGTAAACTCTTGGTATATTGCATTGGTCTATGACACTGGTTTATTCCTTTATTTTATTGTAGTTTCTTTTATCAAATTTTTGCATTCATTATAAGCCTTTGCCTGCTTATATGCACACTCTTAGGTGCTTGTGCACGCACTTGATCCAACGTTTAAAGTTCTTGTACTGTACCAGGGTGTTTACTTTCTAAATTATTTTGTTTTATTCTACATGAAGTTTTTAGTACTTATTTTTCCATATTTGCTTCTCATAACCTTAGATGATATGCGTTTTCTATGCTGGGCATTTATGAAGAATACATTGGAAGATGTCTAAATACTTCATGGTGTCATCCTTCTTGTGTATGCTTTTTGGTCTTTATTGCATAACTTTTTCTTACAGGTTTTATCCTTACCATTATGCTCCATTTGCATCTGATCTCAAGGATCTTGGGCAGCTGAATATAAGTTTTGAACTAGGTTCTCCATTCAAACCTTTCAATCAGCTGTTGGGGGTGTTTCCTGCTGCCAGGTTGTATCGACCACCTTTTCTCTCCTCGTAAAATTTCTGCAGTGCATGGAATCTTACTGGTTTTGTTTGCAGCTCCCATGCACTTCCTGTGCATTATAGGAAATTGATGACTGATTCAAACTCGCCTATTATTGACTTTTATCCGACTGGTATGATATAATGCTGGGACAAACTGCAAATGTTTAAATTTTCATGGTAAACTTAATAAAATTCATCTGAATATATCTTTGTTTTATTCCTCAGATTTTGAAGTGGACATGAATGGCAAGCGGTTTTCTTGGCAGGTTTGTTTAAATGTGTTTTGCATATTGGTTTTGCCTTGTGCAAGCAGTATTCTTGGCTGAGAATTGCTGTTTTACATTTGTAGGAGCTTTTCACATTTTCTTGCATCGTCATTATTTTGCAGGGTATTGCCAAATTGCCTTTTATTGATGAAGCCCGTCTTCTTGCAGAGGTTGCAAAAATTGAACATACTTTGACGGTACCGAGTTGTTAGCCTTTAAGACTTAATGTACTGGGTTCTTTTGCTAGATTATTTTATCTAATTACCAAATTTTTCTGCAGGAGGAGGAAGTACGGCGGAACAGTATGATGTCTGACATGCTTTTTGTGTCGTTATCTCACCCCCTATCTCCATACATTTTTTCTCTTGATGATCGTTGTAAGCAGTTGACAGAAAAAGAACGAGCTGGAGTCAAGGAGCAACTTGATCCTCAGGCCAGGTTTGTGTTGTAATTCTTAGTTTTATCATGTCTAAGCTTTCAAGATGGGGTTGCTTTAGCATTTTCTGAGGACGGATATGCACAATTATTTCCTTTGTTTCTTTACATCCCTCTTGTATACATGTGCAATTAAATGATTTGTGTTTAAGCAAGAAGAGGTTGGATCGTTGGTCTTTTTATGTCAGAATATGTACAAACTTGATAAATAGTCCTGTTAAACTCGCCCCTTTGATCCCAGTTCATGAGGTTTATCCACACTTTTCTGTGAATTTTTTAGGTCTATTTGGATTCCTATCTTGATTGTATTCTGGGTTACGTGCAGTGGTGGGATGAATGGATATATATCCCTTTGTGCTGGAGATCCTTGCCCTCCAATTTTTCGATCGCCTGTTGCTGGAATGGAAGATATTATGGACAATCAAGTCGTGTAAGCTCTCCAGCATTGAAGATGGTGCTCTAGTGTAGTAATTGATATCAATATGCATATTGGATCTTAACATTTGTATATTTTTTCCACTTTTTATTCTGTGTGTCAGATGTGCTATTTACAGACTTCCAGATGCTCATAAGCACATCACTCGGCCACTTGCAGGGGTTATATTTCCAAAGAAGGTATTCATTGGCGAACATGTAGGGGTTATATGCTGTCTGGAGATGTATTGTGCTTCTTTGTTTTTACTTGTTGACAAGTGATGGGCTTTATGTCACTATTTTACAGAAATGAAAGTGTACTGGAGGACTAATACTATTGTAGTTTGAGGGCAAAAAATGTGTTCATCTCTACTATTAATGTCAACCCTGAATATTTAAAAAGTATTTTTTGTCANCTGTCTGGAGATGTATTGTGCTTCTTTGTTTTTACTTGTTGACAAGTGATGGGCTTGATGTCACTATTTTACAGAAATGAAAGTGTACTGGAGGACTAATACTATTGTAGTTTGAGGGCAAAAAATGTGTTCGTCTCTACTATTAATGTCAACCCTGAATATTTAAAAAGTATTTTTTTGTCAAGAGTATAGTAAATTACTTATTTTCATGGGAATGCATATAAAAATTGGATAGTAAATTAAGCATTTTTGACTGACCCCCCAAAAAAAAAAATTTAAGCATTTTTGTAATGTAAACTACTTTTCATGAGATTTAAAAATTTTAGGCACATGGTACCACGAAATTCATAAAAGTAGAAGCATCTGCTGTGTGCTACAACTGCTAGTTCTTCATGTACAAACTACTTTATGTTATCTCCCTCTTTTTATGAGATTGTATGCTGGTCTCCACTCATCTTACGACATGTGAATCATGAACTTTTCCATGTTTCTTATGCTTGCTCTGTGACAATATTCAGTAACTATCTTGTTTCCTAGATAAAAATTGACTTGGTGATTAGGTTATTTTGTATTATTCGTGCTATGATAAGTAACTGTAAAAATAATTTTATAACCATTTAATATAATTTAGCTGTTGCATTCTCGCAAGTAAATTTCTATTCATACCCTATAATTTATGGGCGTGGAAATTTTACAGAAACCTAATATGACTTCATTTATTTCTTGTGAGCTTAAATTAGTAACTGAGGTTCTGCCTATTTAGGTTCATGTGGGCAGGCTTTATTCGCAACTTCATTCAAAGGAAACTCATGTCAAAGATTTTGGTATCTAATGCATGGTTTCTTTATTCTATGCAGCTTTGAAATTATGTTCCTTCTGCTCCCTTGTTTGCACATTTTGCTTAGATGTTAGAAGTTGAGTTTGTTATGCATTGCATACGTGGACTGAAAAGTGTTTTATGCTTGGGCCGATACATAAACATATACTGAAACATGCTTGCATGTATGGCTTACAGTTTTTGACCTGTAAATGGTTTTCTTTCTTCAATAATGATGTTTTGGCATTTTCTTTTATCCCTTCCCTTCTCTTGGTGGTTTATTTTGGGGATCTATGCCATTCTTTGTGGTTTGTTGAAATGGTACTTCGGGGACTGGTACCATTATATTGGTCATGTTTATAACCTGCTTCACTGACTTATGATTTGTCTTTTTGCAGATTGTCTCAGTAGGGGATCTAAAACCTGAGCCCGTTTTGTGGCATGAGGATTCTGGGAAGAAGCCTTGGGAAAATGGAAGGTATGCCAATTTTCTTCCAGTTTGTAAATTGTTGTAGGTGAATGTATTGATGCTCATGTGGTGTTGTCGTCCCATTACATTGTCATATTTATGAAGTTTTGAAGTAATTGTGGGTGGTTTATCTTCCTCTCAGGCATAACCCCCCTGGAGCCATTTCCGGCAGGCATCTTGGGGAGTCAGCACGTCGACTTGTGGTTAACAGTTTACACTTAAAGGCAGACAGGAATGGTTGTAGTGAACGAGTCGAAACCCCAAAGGCATCCTATAGTGGTAGGTATGGCCTGCGTTTGCCCTCATACCAAAACAATAGATACCATGATCAGGAACAAAACAGAATGGTTCTGCCTCGATCAGGCTATCCTGCTCAAAGTTCTGGAAGTCACCCCAGGCCGTCAAATTCCTATCCTGCTCCGAATCACTTTAACCATAACTATGGTAATCAGTATCCTTCACCGGCTGCACACAGTCCTTACAATAGGTCCCATCCTCCATATGCAAGGAGCAACCAGTCTGCCATAGAGAATAGAGCGTATCCTGTCCATGGATACTATCCACCCAGGTTTCCCCAAGACGGACATAGGTTCCCTCCGCATGTTCCCCCTCAGCATTTGGTGCAAACCCCCATTCCGGCTGGTGCCCATTTTCATCAGCAAGGTGGATATAACAGCTATGGAAGCTCCCAGTTATATGGGGACGCCAGCTATCATCATCGGGGTGGTAGCTGGGCACCTCAGGCCAACCAAAGGGATGGCAGAGGGTATGCTCATCCTCAACAATCAGGCAACCAGTTTTCGGCATTAGATAAGGGAGCGAGTCAAAGGCCTCCACCGCCTGGGTATCGCCGCTAGAAGGTCACCGCCTCTGGCAAACTAAGGGGTTGTTATGCTCGTCCTCAACAATGAGCAACCAATTCTCTAGCATTAGATCGGCGAACGAGTCAGAAGGTCCCTGCCGCTATAGGTGGGAAACTAGATGTGTTGTTCCCACCTGCCACCCTCTTCTGGCCTATGATCATAGGGGTGGTGTACAATATTCGATTCTAAAATTTTCAATTAGTTTTATTTTGTTCTTTCACTTTGTAGTTTTGAGGTTAATTTTATTAGGCGTAGCCTTCCACTTTGGAAGGGCAATAACTAATAAGCAAAGGTAAAAAATCATGTATTTTCTTCATTTGTTTACCATTGTGACTTGGCAAACCTACTCACCCTTGTTGCCATTCAAAGAAAGTATGCTTACTCGGGTCATGTTGTCTCTCTCATGCACCTCCTTTTGAAGTTCTCAAACTTTTGGTATCACCCATCCGCAGCCCCCTTTCCCTTTCCTACCATCTAAACCCTGTTCCGAGCCCCATTCCCACATCGAAACCACCCAGCAATCAACACTAATCGATAAAACACATCAAACCCTAGAACTAACATACAACAGATTGCACATAGGATTGGCTAGCATAACTAGCGGGGGTTTATTTAGTGTAGCTTTGTTGTACTTGATTGAGGGTAGTCAAAGGAAGAATTGTAGATGGAACAATTGGCCAAGTGTGTGCGGTGTGGTGTCTAATCTGTACCAGTTGTTTAGTGTCTGAATAAGAAGTACTCCTGCATCTTTAGTTTAGGTTTCACTGTTCGCATAAAAATGCACGTTTAATGGCACCTTCAAGGTCACGATTGGTAGTCTCATTCATTCAGTAGTTAAACTTGCCGTCATATTAGGGTAATATTCACATGCTTCAATGTAAAGAACGTACAGTTGGGATGATTTCTATCACTGCAAAAAAAAAAAAAAAAAAATCAGTGATGTCGAGAATGAAGACAGAACAATATACAAGTACTCACTCTTCTGTTGTTCCATTTGATACGTGCATCAACCTCAAATTATCCAGTTGAAATCCTGGGTAGCATGCCACCGTTAAGTGTGTCCTTATTGGGTAGGTAGTCTGCTTCCTACAGCTGTGCAGTGCTTCAAAGCCTCTTGCTTCATGGAAAAATAACCAATTTATTAATGTAAAGACATCGACCCAGAATTGGATAAGAACCGTTGAATATTCTACTAACAGCACTTGTCCACATGAAAATATATTTTATTACTTTCTCCAAAACAATTAAAAGGTTTGTTTCAAGAAGTGTTTGCTTGGTTTCTTTCCTCTTTGATGAATTGTTTTTTAATAGAAAGGTTTGTAGAAGCGGTGTAATCACTTTGACTCAAAACTTTATTTTTTTTAAAACACTTATAGAAGTTTTGTTAAAGACTATGCAAATAATTTTTTATGTACACATTTTGATCTAGCGTAGTCCATAAGGCCCGCTATGCAATTGAGAGGAATTTTGATATGTGATTTGATCATGATCCAACATTAAATATTTTTGTGTATATAGGAATACGTGATGAAATTGAGTAATTAATAATATAGAACAACCATTTGATAAAATTCATTGAGATTCAACTTTGATTGAGTCTTCCGATTTGAATTTTCAATTTCAATAGATTTGAATATATACTAAAATTAAAATTTATTGTATATTCGAAAGTCCAAAGAGTTCATAGAATCAATTTTTTTTTTTTTAAAAAGATTTTGAGTTCTTTTACTAGAAGCAAAGTTTTTGGCTTCTCTTTTTTTGAATTTTCAAGTCCATCTTTTCGTTCTACTTAAGTGGAACAATTCGAACTCTTGACAAGTTTATCAGAGTTGAGCAAATAATAAGACGATGTAGACAATATTATAATTATTTTTTATTATCGTTTGTTGTTTTCTGTAGTTAACGCATTAAATATCCCGTCTGAGGAGCACGTTCGCAAGAATAAAATTCAAAGGAATTGAAACTCATATTTAAGCAGACTCTAATTTTTCATATTAAAAGTACATTATAAGCATTCATCTTAGAGGGTGTAGTCCCGATCTTTAGATCAAAAGGAAGAAGACTTTCCAAAATCCCTTGAAACTTCCATTATGCATATCGTCACATAAAGGTCAGATAAAGTTGGAATGTTCCGAAAATCCTCCTTATCCTCTTTTCGTCAGCATGTGGCGGCTGGAAGACAGTGTCCATGGTTCGCGGTACATTTGTTTGGGTTTTCACTGAAAAATTGGAAACAGAGTTAGGTGCAAGAAAGTCGGTACCTTTCCTTTCTATCATTTCCATCAAGTCTCAATCATCTTTGAATCTTTGACCAAACTGGCATTGAAAAATGTCGGTATTAAGCGCATCTCTATCATCTAAAATAATTATTTAAAATATATTTAAATATTATATTATATACTTTAATTAATCACTTTTTCAAATTCATTCAAATAACACTATTTATTTTAGTTAACTATTTCAACTAATTTTAAATAATAAAATCTAAAATACTATGTAGTATGTCATGTCACCATCATATTATGACATCACATGCTGATGTGTTACGCTACGTCATCAAAATTTTAAACAAAATCAACCTAATTCAATTCAAACCAAATTCCATGATTATCCAGCAAAAAATCAATGCTTCCAATCATACTAATCAAGAAAAATCAACAAAGACATGGAGTGAATTCAAGATCTACACAAACAATCAATATATAAATATATGCCCCATATCAAATACAAACAATTATTCAAACCATCCATGATTTTAAAATTGGGGTTGCAAGACTGCACAAATCAAATTCCGTAGCTAAATATGAATTGAAAATTTTGATGAATCGAGTAGGGGTCGTTTGAGGAATCAGGTAAGGGCNTAAAGACTATGCAAATAATTTTTTATGTACACATTTTGATCTAGCGTAGTCCATAAGGCCCGCTATGCAATTGAGAGGAATTTTGATATGTGATTTGATCATGATCCAACATTAAATATTTTTGTGTATATAGGAATACGTGATGAAATTGAGTAATTAATAATATAGAACAACCATTTGATAAAATTCATTGAGATTCAACTTTGATTGAGTCTTCCGATTTGAATTTTCAATTTCAATAGATTTGAATATATACTAAAATTAAAATTTATTGTATATTCGAAAGTCCAAAGAGTTCATAGAATCAATTTTTTTTTTTTTAAAAAGATTTTGAGTTCTTTTACTAGAAGCAAAGTTTTTGGCTTCTCTTTTTTTGAATTTTCAAGTCCATCTTTTCGTTCTACTTAAGTGGAACAATTCGAACTCTTGACAAGTTTATCAGAGTTGAGCAAATAATAAGACGATGTAGACAATATTATAATTATTTTTTATTATCGTTTGTTGTTTTCTGTAGTTAACGCATTAAATATCCCGTCTGAGGAGCACGTTCGCAAGAATAAAATTCAAAGGAATTGAAACTCATATTTAAGCAGACTCTAATTTTTCATATTAAAAGTACATTATAAGCATTCATCTTAGAGGGTGTAGTCCCGATCTTTAGATCAAAAGGAAGAAGACTTTCCAAAATCCCTTGAAACTTCCATTATGCATATCGTCACATAAAGGTCAGATAAAGTTGGAATGTTCCGAAAATCCTCCTTATCCTCTTTTCGTCAGCATGTGGCGGCTGGAAGACAGTGTCCATGGTTCGCGGTACATTTGTTTGGGTTTTCACTGAAAAATTGGAAACAGAGTTAGGTGCAAGAAAGTCGGTACCTTTCCTTTCTATCATTTCCATCAAGTCTCAATCATCTTTGAATCTTTGACCAAACTGGCATTGAAAAATGTCGGTATTAAGCGCATCTCTATTATCTAAAATAATTATTTAAAATATATTTAAATATTATATTATATACTTTAATTAATCACTTTTTTAAATTCATTCAAATAACACTATTTATTTTAGTTAACTATTTCAACTAATTTTAAATAATAAAATCTAAAATATTATGTAGTATGTCATGTCACCATCATATTATGACATCACATGCTGATGTGTTACGCTACGTCATCAAAATTTTAAACAAAATCAACCTAATTCAATTCAAACCAAATTCCATGATTATCCAGCAAAAAATCAATGCTTCCAATCATACTAATCAAGAAAAATCAACAAAGACATGGAGTGAATTCAAGATCTACACAAACAATCAATATATAAATATATGCCCCATATCAAATACAAACAATTATTCAAACCATCCATGATTTTAAAATTGGGGTTGCAAGACTGCACAAATCAAATTCCGTAGCTAAATATGAATTGAAAATTTTGATGAATCGAGTAGGGGTCATTTTGGGAGTGAGGGGTCGTTTGAGGAATCGGGTAAGGACTTTAGGTTTAGGAAAATTGGGTTTGGGTTGAGAATGATTGGGTAGAGTGATTTGACAGTGGTTGGATTGGGATTGGCCGAAGCCTTTGTGATCACTTCAAGCAAAGACATTGAATCAAAAAATATTTAAAATAAGCTGAGGCAAAAGTTTTACAAGAAAAGGGTAGGAAACCCAAAGAATACTAAACCCATTACATACACGCATACAATGAGAGGCAGGGAAAGGCAACATATGTACTTGAAGCAACAAATCGATGTAACAAATTTGAAACTTTGAAGCAAATCTGAGAGAGGCAGCAAATTGATGGTCTGAGCAAATCTGAGAGAGGCGGCAAATCTGAGAGATACAGAGAAAGGCGATGGTCTGAGCAAATTGATGGCAGAGAGAGGCGAGAGTCACAATCGATGAAGTTTGAGACAGAGAGAGGTAGGGATCGATGGAGTTTTGTGGTCAATCCATGGAAAGGTAGAGAGAGGCAGAAAGAGGCGAAAGTNTAAGCAGACTCTAATTTTTCATATTAAAAGTACATTATAAGCATTCATCTTAGAGGGTGTAGTCCCGATCTTTAGATCAAAAGGAAGAAGACTTTCCAAAATCCCTTGAAACTTCCATTATGCATATCGTCACATAAAGGTCAGATAAAGTTGGAATGTTCCGAAAATCCTCCTTATCCTCTTTTCGTCAGCATGTGGCGGCTGGAAGACAGTGTCCATGGTTCGCGGTACATTTGTTTGGGTTTTCACTGAAAAATTGGAAACAGAGTTAGGTGCAAGAAAGTCGGTACCTTTCCTTTCTATCATTTCCATCAAGTCTCAATCATCTTTGAATCTTTGACCAAACTGGCATTGAAAAATGTCGGTATTAAGCGCATCTCTATTATCTAAAATAATTATTTAAAATATATTTAAATATTATATTATATACTTTAATTAATCACTTTTTTAAATTCATTCAAATAACACTATTTATTTTAGTTAACTATTTCAACTAATTTTAAATAATAAAATCTAAAATATTATGTAGTATGTCATGTCACC